CCTCCCCCTCCCTCCCCTTGACTTGCTGATGTGATTGGTCGGAATGGCAAGGGGGGCGGCCACTGGGAGACACATACCAGAGCAAAGCACCGGATACTACCGACAGCCATACATGCGCACGTACAGCTTCACACACACACACACACACACACACACACACACACACACACACACACACACACACAGAGTCGTTACGTATGCACGTGGTCAGCTACCGTCTACCGATGGGTGCAGGTTGCCCTTCGACTAAACGATTATTCCGATTCAGAATGCAGGCGGTGCTGCAGTATGCGGGGGACTTTTTTAACCAACTCCATCCACAGCGAGACGCGTGTGTAGTAAGTTCGTTTAGTCGTAAGTCGAAAAACAAAGCACGCACAGCAGCACTACGCACGCACCCTCCACGAACCAGCAGCACTGTGAGGAATGCCCAGTCCCGGAGGCATGAGAACGGCACAGGCCACAGAGCACATAAAGACGGAGTTTACAACGAGAAGTCGTCCGCTCCGTCCCCCCATGCCAAATAATAATCTCTCCGGCTCGCTGTTTACTTCGTATCCGCTGCACTGTCAAAAGTTTGATCGGCACTTGCCGACCATTCCGAGGCAAATTTTGCTCACATGACATCATTGTTGTTCAGCCCAAATGAAAATGACGTTATCCATAGTTAGCTATGTACAAAGTGACGACATTTTTTTACAGTGTGCACTCGCTGTACTCGCAGTGTTCTCTCCGCGCGCGCGCTGGGCTGGGTCGCCATTTGATCGGGCCGTCGCGCTGCCATCGCGCCAACAAGACCAACAAGAAGACGGTGGCAGTTTCCTGTGCAGGGCCCCGTCCGCGTGGCTCGGCGTGGCTCGGCGCGCGCTCGCCGCCCCGTCCGGGCAGGCAAGCCCTGCAGTCCCTGCACTGCCGCTTCATAAATACGGACGATAAAACCGCGCCGACCGTCGTGTACTGGGGGGGGGGGGGGGGGGCGTGTTGATTGCGTCCAGCGCACGCCTGTCACCATGACGCCGTTGATGGTGACGACCCACCACTGTCGTCAAAACGACACAACGGTTGTCCCATTCCGAACAGCGCTGGTAAAGTTTCGTCGCGCTGTCGCCTCTCTCTCTCACTCACATTGTTTGCAAGAGATGAGGACGGAGAGAGAGAGAGAGACGCAGACACTTCCAACTCCACTTGCCGTTCCGTCAGAACCTCGTGTCTTATGCCTGGTCTGCTAGCGCGCGCCTTAAGAGCGAAACGCCTGTGGCGTAGGCAAACCCGTAACACAGCGGCGTCGGCGCGCGGCCTACCTCGCAGGGGCGCAGGCCGGCCGAGCTTCTTTTTCGGCCGGGAGACGCGCCTGAAGAAGCAGCGCCCTGACGTTCGACCTTCGGCGAGGTAAACGCCGAAACGGCACCCCGCTGGGCCCGCCGCCGCCATCGGGGTGCCCCCCCCCTCCCCCCGGCAGGCAGCCAGAAGCCCTCCATGACTTGTCGTCCGGCCGGACTCGCCGTGTCCAGCGGTCTCCAGGCGAAGGGCGTCGCTCTGTCTCTGTCGCACTCGAGGGGCGTCCCGCTGCGGTGCGAGAGAGACAGAGCGACGCGACGCTCCGGGGCCGCCGCACTCACTGGGGCCCATCGGGGCCCATTCAGCTGGATATTAGCCGGAAACCACACTGCAGTCCAGGATCATCCCGGATCAAAGGGGAGGGGAAGGGGGGCCGAGGACCGCGGCGAGGAAACAAAGGGAGGATCACTTTGTCGCGCGGGGCGGGGCGGGGCGGGGCGGGGCGGGGCGTGACTTGCGCTTCCCTTGTCGGCGCGCCCCGTGACGGCCCCTGGCCCATTCAAGGGCTCGCCTCGCCAGCGACGCCAGCCCTCAGCCCTTTAGTCTCCCCTTTGGGCTCGCCTTCGGGTCCTCCGGGCCACGGAATGAGTCCACACGGATAGCCGCCGCCGCCGCCGTCGAGGGCCTGCCGCACGACGCACTCGTCATCACCTGCACCGGGGTGCCCCGCCCCGCCACGCCCCACGGCGCCCCGCCCGCACCGGATGCAGTGGAGTCACCGCACACAGCGCATTCCGCGCAGGGTCAGCACGTGTCTGCGTCTCTCTCGCACCCATGGCGGTCTAGGAGGGAGAGAGAGAGAGAGAGTGGAGCACCCTGCGAAAACCGAGAAGGGAAGGGGGAGGGGGAGTCGGCGCCGCGGTGGTGGTGTCCCCCCTGAACCCGCTGCTGGATCCGCCCTGGCCTGCCACAGCAGCTTGCGCCCCTGCCTCCGGGGCCTCCGGTCTTCTGGTTCCGGAACTCCGGGACGGAAATCGGTGCCGCGGCGTCGGGGCGTCGCGACGCCGCGTCCCGTCCCACGGTCGGCCGGGGTGAGGAAGGGCGTGCCGGACGCGGGTTCGAATCCCGGAAGAGTTTCCTCTTTTTGTCTTTCCCCTCTCCTCCGAACATTCCTAATGAGAGCCGCGGTGGGCTGACTGTCGGCTGACTGGGCCGGCGGCGTGGACGGTGTGGGAACCGCGGCGATGCGGGCGAAGCGGGCCACTGGAAAATGACGAAACACCGATTGATTCGAACACGGCCGTGACTTCGCAAACACGACAAGCTTCGGGGCACTTTCCTTCTCAGCGGAAGCGGCGAAAGAACAAGCCACTGTAAAAAACAAAATCTTGCGACTGTTTTTCGGGATTTTGCCATTTACTTTTAGCAGTGCCGAAGTGGCGCAGTCGGTTACGAGGCTGCCTCTGTTCCCAGGCGCGCGTTCGACTCCCGCCGGCGGCCAACAACGTAAACATCAAGCGCCTCGCCCTGATGTGTGGTGTGACTACTCCACGTAGACCGAGTGCAACGCATGCGTCACGCGGTTCAGTCACTTTCCCCGGCTTTTCCGAGTTTCGTTTATGTGTTTTTTTTTTTTCCCGTTGTTTTCGGCATTCCCGGCGTCCATTCTCAGGGGACACTGACTCGGGGACTCCGGGGCTCCGCCCAGTCCGCCCAACGCGTTTCGGATTCGAGCGTTACATCCTCCGGCCCACGTCCCGGCGGCTGTAGCCCCGCCCCGCCCCGCCCCGCTCGCTTGTTTGTGTTTGGGTACTGCCGAGAGCACCCGGCCGAGTACCCGAGACAAATTCACTCGGAATTTGATTTTCTTTCTTTTTTGTGCTTTTCGTTTTTCTCTTTTTTTCCACGGGACGCAGCAGCGCAGCGGGCGGGGACCGTCCGGCCGTAACTCCCGTTCGGAATAACGAAGAACCGGGCGCTGCCTTCCAGAAAACGTCAAACTCGCTGCTTTTCGGTTTCTGGAGGGTGTTTTAGTTGTTGTTGTTGTTTCCGAGGCGACCGCACGCGGCAGCGCCACGCGACCGCGCCGCGCACGCGTCCACCCTCGTCACGCGCGTGCTGCCCACACTGGCCGGTCGGCCAGCGGGCTCCGTTCCGAACGGCACCCTCGTCGCGCCGTCTCCCTCGCACCCCTACGGCACCCCCATGAGTGCGAGAGAGACAGAGCGCGCCGAGCTTTCGGAGTCGGCCGGCGAGGGGCGCGAGGCACTGCCAGGGCACTGCAAAGCACGCAGACTGCTTTCCAGGAAGCGGAGCGCGGCGCGGTGTCCGAGTCGCTTGGAACTAGACTCCGCCACCGGCAGCGCACGAAGCGCAAAGAGAGAGAGAGAGAGACAGAGATAATCGCGTTGATGACACAATTTTGCAAAGTCCCCCTCCCTGGCGCGTTGCCACGCTGCCACTAGCGTGCACCGCGCCCAAGGCAATCCGCCGGCCTCGCCGAACAAGGACCGGAGATGGAGGCGCCGGGGCGGTGGAGCACGGGGCGCGAGCGGCGCCGTCGCGACGCGCCGCCCCCACCCCCTCCCCGCCCCCGACACGATACAATACCGGGGGCAGCACTCAGTGTGCCAATCGACCACGCCGGGCATTGCCGGCGGACGGGGCGGCTGTTCTTCAAATACGGAGGGCGGGGGCGGCGGGGGCGGCGGGGGCGGCGCGCTGCACTGCCCTTCAGCCGGGCGGCCACTCCACTGCCCTTTCCGGCTCCACGTGTGTCTAGCCCTCCGCGTGCGTGGCGGACGGACAACGAAATATGAATGAATGAATGAAAATGCCTGTCTGGGCGGAGTGCACCGCCACCGCGGCCAGCGCCGCGCACGGGCGTAACCCCCTGGTGGTGGTAGGCTAGTTCCCAACAGTGCCGCGTCTCTCTCTCTCTCTCTCTCTCTCTCTCTCTCTCTCTCTCTCTCTCTCGGCCCTACGGGACGGCGAGAGAGAGAGAGAGACAGAGACAGCCCTGCTGGGCCCTACTCGTGCTTCCTCCGCGTTTCGAGACAGTTGGTGCCGCTCCTCCCCCGTGCCAGCCCTGTGCGCACCAAACGACCATTAGCTCCCCTCCCCTCCACTCCCGCGCCACGGGGAGACGGGGAGGCAGTGTGCCGCGAGGGGAAACGCACCGACCGGGGACGACAGCCAGCGACACGAAACACCGCGCCGAAAGATGCACTTTCCGTAAAAGCGGGGCGCGGCGGGCCCGGTGTCACGAGGATTAATTAGTGCACCAGACAATCGGTCGTTGGCGCGACGCGGCGCGTGTGGGAACGCGGCGCATTCCTGCTTATCTGGCCCTGATAATGGCTGGCGGCCTGCATGAAGGGGAGGCGCGGTGACACCGCGCGCCGCGTGGGTGGCGGAGCACTGCAGTGGCGCGACGGAGGGGCGCCCAAGTCGCGCAGGTGCGCGTCAGCGCGGTCGGTTATCACGCCGACGGGGATGGGGGTCGCGTCCCTTATCAGCAGACCACCCCGGTCAGAGGTAGAGAGACCGCGGAGGGGCTGGAGAGACTCGGGACTCTCTAAATAGTACAGTGGACTGGAGAGACTCCAGGTTCTCTAGGTACAATGGCGCTCCAGATAGGCTAGATTGACTCTCCAGGCAGACTAGAGAGACCACCGTCTCTCTACCGCCGACTGGTCCTACTTGCAAACGGGGACACTCACTGTAGAGCAGGATCTCCTTGGAGCGGGTCTTGAGCGTCGTCTCGTCGGGGCACGTCCGCATGGCCGCCTCCTCCGTGGTGTAGCACTTGGAGAGCTCCTCGGTGTGCACCTGCAGCACGTTGCGCGCCACCAGCTTGAGGTGGAAGCAGCGCGTGCAGTTGGCGCTGCCGGAGCTGCAACGGAAAACGAGAACATTAGGGACACATCGCACAGTGGGCCAGAAGACCGATACTCCAGAGTCGCTAAATGGGACTTGAACGTGTGACCCCACCAATGGATTGCTCTCCGAACGAGGAATCCATTGGTGGGGTCACACGCTCGCTTCGAGTCCTGGTTAGCGAAACGGCGGAACGCGTCCGCCAAAGCAGGTCGCCGTCGACGGCGGCCTCGCGGAGCAAGTGCAAGGCGGCCCCGCGCGACCTCAAGCAGGCCGTGCTCGCCGTCTAGCTCCGCGCTTTGTGGTCCTCGCGACTCCATTACCAGCACGCAGCGCAGCGCGCAGAAATGAGGAAGCTCCACTTGATGGGCTTGATGGCGGACAGGCAGACTCAAGTGCTTTCGTCGCTGTCTCTCTCGCACTCCCGCGGCCTGCCCTGCGAGTGCGAGAGAGACAGAGCGAGGCGGGCTGGCGCGGCCGGTGCGCGCGGCTGCGCGGCTACTCGTCAAGAGCTTGATCAGCCAGTTCTGGAAACCGCGCGGGACTCTGCAGTGCACCGTCACTGTCTCTCTCGCACTCACGGCGCGTTCCAATCAGGCGAGAGAGACGACAGTGTGCAGGCGGCGGCGCGTCTGGCAGCCTCGCTGCGTCTAGCGGTAATTCAAGTCCATAATTACGCGCCGCAGCGACTTCTGTCTCTCTCGCACACCAGCGGGACGGCCTGCGAGTGCGAGAGAGACAGAGCGACGAAAGCGCTGTCCGGAATCGGCGTGCTGGCGCGTCCTCCTACACCGCCAATCGGCGGTCCACTGCTGATTCGCTCTCTCCCTCGCACTCGCGGGGACCGCCCTTGCGGCGCGAGAGAGACAGGGCGACGGGGCACTCTGCTGTTAATCAGGCACTATTTATGCCCTGGCGTCCGGGCCGCTGTGGCCGGCCGGCTCGGCGCCTCGGGCGACAAACCCGGGTCGCTTGGCGCTGCTCCGCTGCTCCGCTGTGCGAGGTTTACGCCGACGTCGTTACTCGGCCAGCCAATAGCCATGAATCAAAAACCTTGGCGGTCGCTCTGTCTCTCTCGCACCCACGGGGCGCCCCGCGAGGGTGCGAGAGAGACAGAATCAGCCCGCGGCGGACGGGCCAGTTCACGAACGACCACACCACCGCGGGATGTTCCATTCACTTTTCGATTCGCTGGCGGCGGTGTGTTGACTTCCCTAGCGCCGCAGCGCCCTCTGCCGGCCCTTCGGGGCCCTGCAGTGGACCGCGGCAGTGTAGTGGCGGCGAGATCGATGCTGCCCTACAAGGCGGAGGACCATTACACCGTTAAGGAGTTGGCGGCAAAAGCATTATCGGCTGGGAACCACTGGGAACCGTGCCTGCCTCGGCCTGCCTGTGCACAGTGGGCCGGAAGACCGGTGGAGGCGGTCAAAATTCCAGCTCCAGAGTCGCTAAATGGGAGTCGAACCGACCGTGTGACCCCACCAATGGATTCCTCGTTCGGAGAGCAATCCATTGGTGGGGTCGGTCACACGTCCGGTTTGAGTCCCATTTAGCGACTCTGGAGCTCAAAACGCGTCTGGAGTTTTCGCCGGTCTTCTGGCCCTGGCACACTGTGCTGCGGTGTCCAGCTGTCCCCTGGCGCGGCCGGCGGCGCGCCTACAATGTATGCTTTCATCCTCGGCAGCGACGAAAACGAAAAGGAGAAAAATAAAATTAGCCGGGGTGCCGTATAACGCCCCTGGAATGCGGTGCAGGCGGTGCAGGCCGGGCAGGCGGTGTCCGTCCACGCCGTCCACGCAGCCCGGCCGACGCGGCGCCAACCTTATCTCAATGGCAAAGTGAATATTCGAATCAGGCGGGCTCACACTCTGAAAAACGTTTCACTGATTCGACCAAATTTAGATACTGGTTTGAACACATTCTTGTGGGCAAAAATTAGCTTGACATTGTCATCAAAGTGATAACAACAAAAGTTTCCACAGTGGAGCGCGGCGTATGTTCGAGGGTGGTCTTGGCATTGTTGTCGCTCCTATGCAATAAGTATATACAGGAGCTCTGATAAAAATGCCGTCACTTTGAGGACGAAACGGTCATCATTTTAAACTGATGAAAATGTCGTCCAATATTATTTTATCAAAAAAGAAGACAAATTTTGGCAGTGTCGGGTCCCCAAGACTCGCAGCAGGCTCCCAAGGTGGACGGCGGGACATTGCACGCTTACAAATGGCTGCCAGCAAAGAACATGCGGCCGTCCTCTTGAGCCAAAGTGTATTCCGACGTGAATCCATTTTGCCCAGCCTCGAATTTGGCGTCCTTGTCCTTCTCGCATACTGAGAATGCCGAACAAGGTTCCTGTTTTATCCAACCTGATGATAAGAGTGCCGGGTGATTTAATTATAGCAAGAATTTTTTTCTTTCCTACAGTAATTGCAAAGAATTTCCTGGCGGATCGCTTGGAAAATAAATCGGAGCTGCGAAACCCTTCGTTTGCTTTGAACCTTATCCCGAGATTTCCTGGCGATATTCAAATCCCAATGCGATTTTATCATTTGACATCCAGGGAAACTCAAATGGTGAGAACCCGATGCAGCAAATGTGTCTCAACGCTGACTCACTCCCGAAAATCAAACTCTTCGCTCTCATTTTTTTTCGTGGATTTCTCCTTTCACCTTATTTTCAAGTGGATCCCACCGACGCCGCAAACGGAACGCCGCGGCGTAAGTAAGTGAGTACGAAAACCGCAGGAAGAAAGAGGCAGTGAGAAAGAGAGAGAAAGAAGGCGGCCATAATGAACAGGGCGAATAATGGGCAGCGCTTCCTCCTCCGCGGACTCGAATTAATCACATTTCCCTGTGTCATCTTTTTACTTTGTTACTTTGTTCCGCTGTGGACCGTTACCGACCGACCGAGCGCCATGGGCTGCTCGCTGAGCCTTCGCGGCCGCCTTGCTGGCCTTCGTTAGGGCCTTCGTCGTAAGCACTGCAGGGCCTGGCTGGTCACATCAGGGGCTTCGCGATCATAGACCTTTGCGATCATAGGACGTTTGCGTCTGGCCCATGATGCGTCAGGGGAACATGGCACACAGAAAATGAAACTCAAACTACCGTAGGCAAATTAGACCGCCAGTAACGAAAAGAGAAAAGACACTATGCTATGCACCGCCCGTCCCTTTTTTTTTTTTTCAGAACTGTCAATCATCCTGCGGAATAGAAGGGCTTTGCGGGGCCGTTCCCATACTGCACTGACACACACACACATACAAACACAGATATAAAGAAATTTGCTTTCGGCTTGCGGTCGTGTAGACACAGACATTATGCGGTGGAGTCGCACAGCCACACACGCCGGCCGCAAAACGAGCGCCTAGCACGCGATTGTTTTCTTTTCAAGAATGGCACCAGCCGGCGCCATTCTCACCCCATCGGAATGTGCCAAAGACACTCCACTTGTCTCCGTGTGTGAGTGTGTGTGTGTGACGGTGTGACTGAAGTTCCCAAACACACGCTGGGGCCCTTTCACCGGAAACAAGACTCCGGTGTTCCAGCTGGTTCCAGTGTGGGGGCCGGAGGGGCAGGCAGGCGCCCCCCGCGGCCAGGGCAGCGTCCTCCCGCGGTCCTCCTCCTCCTAGAAGTCCCTGGCGAGAGTGATGGCCGGGGAGAAATTTACACACGTCTTCGCTCGCAGAGCAGACTGACTCATCGAAACGGGCCCGAATAGTTGGAGTTTAGTGTGGCTCTATGGCAGGGAACGAACAGCGGGCATGAACACGTTGTTTTCGTCACTGCGGCCTAACCCCGATCGGCAACCCAGCGCGCCTTCCCCGAATCCCGAAGAACCGAAGGCAGAAACTAACATGCCAAACGACGCGGTCAAATAAATAAACAAACAGATAAATAAAGAAACGAGCCGCGGCCACTTGGGCATGTTAGCGGTCCGAAAAATAAAGATAAAGCGAGATTTATACGGTGCGGCGCGCATTCTCCTCAAATCCGCTTCCAATCAGATTTCCCGATTTACAGCATTCATTCGGGTCGGCGAGGACAATACCCAGAGTGTCAGATCCAATCGATGTAATCAGCTATCGATAACAATGTCCCCGAACGAACACGGCCCCTCACACACACACACACACACACACACACACACACACACACACACCTACAGTGAGTGCTCCGGCCGGGCGCGCGGTTTATCGTGGCCAAACGGATAAGGATCTGCGAATGCGACAGGTCCAAAAAAATGCCTGTGGCAGTGCCGCCGCCGTGGCGCGTTGCATCTCGGTTTGCCTATCTCGTTGAGTCTCGTTTAGCCACTCGCCTTGCCTATATCTTTCGCCTTGCCTACTCGCTTCGCCTATCTCTGTCTCTCTCTCTGCGTTCCAAATAACCTTTGATTCCCGGCGCCGATACCGCGCGACACGCAGAGCGGCGCTACGGCCCGCACTGCTCTTCTGTCTCTCTCGCACTCGCGGGGCGCACCGGGGGGCCGCGGCGGTGCGACAGAGACAGAGCGACGAAAACGCGCATCGTCCGGTGCGCTCGCCGCGCAGCCGCCAACATTGTCGCCCGGAATGCCCGCGCTGCTGCCTGCTCCACGCTCGTCGCTCTGTCTCTCTCGCGGGGCGGACCGTGAGGGTGCGAGAGAGACGGAGCGACGGCGGAACGAATGGGCCACTGACTCGCTGGGACCCGGGAGTGGAGGCAGCAACAGGTGGTTCCGAAAACCCTTTCGACCGCCGGAAAGGGGCAGGCAAAAGAAACAACGAGAGGGACCCGCTCGCCAGATGAAGCCCTTCACGGGTTAGAGAGGGGGGGGGGGGGGCGCAGTGCGAGGAAATTTCCGGCGAAGGTGTTATCGAGGAGGAAGGAGAAGAAGAAGCTGCAAACGTGAGGTTGATAGCGGCTGCGCATCAGGCGGCTTGACAGGCGGCTGATGTAGATTCATTACAGTGTCGTCTGTCGAGACTTTGGTTGTCACTTGACGACCACCAAGGCTAATTTTCCACACAACGAATCTCATCAAATTTGTGGACGCAATAAACAAAGGAGCTCCAGTTTTGAAATGACACTCGAATCTAACGTGTGACCCCACCAATGGATTGCTCTCCGAACGAGGAATCCATTGGTGGGCAGGCTCGGACTGGCCCCCAAAAGTCCCCAGCGGATAAGACCGCCAAAAAGGGCCCGATCATCATTTGTTTTTACCCCTTTATGACCAACTTTGTGAGGCTACCGCTCCCAAAATAGTTGCGGTCAATAGCCTTCCCGATACAGGGGATGAAAGTAGGGGCTTAAGAATACTAGGCGTCGAGGGAAGCCTTTACGGCACTAGATTGGACACAGTGGCCGCCCAAAATCAGCAAAATCAGCATGTTTCCGAATTCGACCACTTTTTGACCAAATTAGTCGGAAAGTCGTTGCGGTCAAAGCCCAAAAACGTTGTGGTCAACGTCTTCCCGATACAGGGCATGAAAGAGTAGGGTCTTAAGAATACTAGGGCGTCGAGGGAGGCCTTCTACGGCGACTAGATTGGACACAGGGGCCACCCAAAAGTCAGCAAAATCAGCAAATTTCCGAGATTCGACCATTTTTTGACCAACTTAGTCGGAAAGTCGTTGCGGTCAAAGCCAAAATCGTTGTGGTCAACGTCTTCCCGATACAGGGCATGAAAGAGTAGGGTCTTAAGAATACTAGGACGTCGAGGGAGGCCTTCTACGGCGACTAGATTGGACACAGTGGCCATCCAAAGTCAGCAAAATCAGCAAATTTCCGAGATTCGACCACTTTTTGACCAACTTAGTCGGAAAATCGTTGCGGTCAAAGCCAAAATCGTTGTGGTCAACGTCTTCCCGATGCAGGGCATGAAAGAGTAGGGTCTTAAGAATACTAGGGCGTCGAGGGAGGCCGTTGACCGCAATTAGATCGGACGCAGTGGCCGCCCAAAATCAGCGAAAACGGCTACTTTCGTCCTATATATACTAGGACTCTTTGACCAACTTTGTGACGTTACTGGTCCCAAACCCGAAAGGCCCCGGCAGATTTTTCTGCCTGTCTGCCCTGGCCAGTCCGAGCCTGTTGGTGGGGTCACAGGTGGGGTTCGAGTCCTGTTTAGCGACTCTGGAGCTCAAAACGCGTCTGAAGTCGTCTGAACCTCCGTGGAGGTTGACTCACCTGTCCAGCAGGATGACGTTGTTGCCGATGCGGCGGTGGCAGCGGCCCCAGATGGGGATGTTGTCCGAGCTGATGTTGACCTGCGAGTACTGGACGTGCCCGATGCCAGCCTGCGCCAGGGCCTGCGTGCCCTGGAACTGCAGCTGCATCACGAACTGGCCCTGCAGCTCCGCGGGGAAGTAGCATCCCGCCGTACCTGCAACGAGAACCAAGCAGAGTCGGCTTTAGAACCACGACCACCAGGCAGCAGGCTCGTTACTCTGTCCCTCTCGCACTCGTGGGGCGTCGCCTGTGAATGCGAGAGAGGCAGACGTCATGTTCACTCAGCGCTGATTAAGGAACGAAGAACGCATCGGTGATATACATGCCCGCTTGTCCGTCTCGTGAGTCTCGCGCACCCGCCGCCCACGATCTCATTCATTTTTCATTCGGAATTTTCTGTTCCCCTTCATTCTTTTTTGCTGTTGCGTCGTACGCAGGTTGACTCATTCATTCATTCACTCGCTGGCTGCCTGGTCTCGCCCTTCGCTTGCCTTCCCGGTAGGTCCGGCCCGTCTCTCTCGCACTCGCGGGGCACCGCGCGAGAGAGACAGAGCGACGCTGTAATGACGCAGGGCCCCCGAAAGGGCCCACGGCGGCCCCGCCGCGGCTCCAGGGCCCCAAGGACGCGTTCGGCCCGCGCGTTCCACTCCAAAACAAATATCAGTCCGAGGACGGCGCCGCCGTGGCCCTGGCCCGCCACCCCCAATCACGCCACGCCCCGCCCCGCCGGATATGACCCCAGGTAGGCAGCGGCAGCGGTCGTAATGACAGCCAATCTGGGCCCTGCTGGCCCTGCAGGCTGCAGGAATTCGGTAACCGGCGGACCGGCGCCTCGCTCGCCGTGCTCCGAGAAGCAGGGTGCCTCTCCCGGCACCTCCGCGTCGCGTTCCGCCGCCAACAGCTTATTTGCTTTGTTTTCGCTCTGCTGCCGACACTCATGTAAGGCCAAAAAAAAAAAAATGACAAGCCTTTTTCTTTGCACTTCTTTTTCTAGTGGTGGTGGGGGATGCATTAGTGGTTTTGGCTGCGGCTAAGGTTTAGTCGGAGACATAGCCTTCACTTGCAGTGCCAAATTTGACTCCACAGTGGAACGTTAAGGCGACAAATTTGCCACTTCCATGTCCGATACTACTACCTCTTTGCTGGACAGCCCACCTCGCCGCCGGCACGCTCAAGGTTCCAGGGTTCCAGGATCGAGCGGTGGGAGAGATTCACTTTGATTGCGCGCTCAATTACCAACACATGTTATGTCATTTTCGAATCGGATATCGATCTCGGATAATCACACACACACACACACTCACACACACACACGCAACACATGCGCAATAATCTCTCGGCCGCGTGCATCTTTTCCCAGAGACCGACCGGATTCCTCTGCTTCCCCCGACGACTTCAACAATGAGAGAGTGTACGGGTGTTAAACCTTCGAATCAACCGGAAATTTCACGGTATATGATGCATCCATCTTGGAACAGAGGGACGTGAGTGGATGCAGCCGGAGTGGCCCCGTCCGATATGCCCCGGCCAGGATAGTAATTATGAGGCACCGGTAGCCACACACACACACACACACACACACACACACACACAAAAAAATCACGGTACGTTTCACTACACTGTCTTTGTGATTCATTTTTTTTTGTTTGCTCTCCTTTAAGGACTTGACCGTATACTTACTCGCGGGATGATTGAAATCGCGCATGTAATTCGTATTGGCTGTAATTACATTCCGGAGGGCTGCAGAGGTCGCGGCCGCATACGACGTGACCGGTAGCAACGCCAGCGTCTCGCGTTTCGACTCACAGAGAGAGAGATTTGTTTTCCCTAGTCGAATAAGGGCAACGAAAACAGCCTAATTCTCCCCCCATCAAAAAACTATTTTCACGTCTTTTTAAAATGTAAGTGTCCCACTTTCATTTTTTAAACATTTTTTGACATTAGTTTTTTTTTACAAAAGTATTTTTTGCAATAGCATTTTTTACAATAGTATTTTTTACAATAGTTTTTTTTTTTACAAAAATAATGTGTTTGACAGCAACTTAGATCGCTCTCGGTTTCAGATACGCCAGTCAGTCCGGCGGGGGAAAGTCAGCACCCAGGGTCCGAGGTTCAAGGAGGCAGCGAGGGGCCAATTGAATACGAACGGCAACACAATCCACAGCGAGACTCACGTAGCCGCCAATCGACAGACTGCTTTTCGATGCTGATCCAGAATCTCGGAGCCCATAATCAGGTTGCTACCAGGCAGCTACCGTCATCACCATTTTTTTTCTCCCTCCCCTCCTCTCTCCCGGCTTTATTTTTCGCATGCTTCATCGTTGCCGGACATTCCAGACCGAAACTGAGGCCGTACTTGGATTACCATGCGCCCTCAAACATCGCGGAAACAGCTTGTCGAATCGGCGGCAACGAGGCAGTGCGTGGGACACTCTCACACAACGTCGGCTAGAATTAGAAAATTAGTCCGGCAGAGATTAAGGCTGGCCTTGTTTAGCCTTAATCTAGGCGGCATCTGCTGCGCGAGGCGCATTGCGCGCGAGAGAGACAGCCGGCCTAGTGCCCATTGTGCTCCTTTATGGGGAAATGTTACTGTACTCGGTTTGGCGAACCCAGTGGCAGTGGCACTGCACTGCCCCGACGTGTCTGCTCTACGAACTCAGCGGTGTGCGGTTGGCTCTGGATGAAGCATGCACCCTAGCGCATACACTCCAGTTAAAGCTTGACAGGGGTTCCCACAAAAATGCTTTCCCAGAATAAATTTCAAAGGCACACCTGAAGATTTTGCCCAGAGTAGCTTTTCCAGGCTCCAGGCTTCACATTACGTTTCCCCTTGTCGTGGGCCATCCGACGCAAACCGCGCGTCTGTCTACGCGACGCCGGACTACCGGGATAATTGGGATGGGAGAGCGAGACGGCCTCGACGTCCTGGAGGAAGAGGGCCTGCGGGACCACCCGCGGCATCCAGTGGACTCGTCCGTCTCTCTCGCACCCATACGGGGCGCCCCATCAGTGCGAGAGAGACGGAGCCACTCGGAGTCAGTCTGCAGGGCGAGACTCGGCGAGCTAAGAGAGCCTCGTAGGGCCAAAGGCTCCCGAGTTGTCGCCTCTCTCCCTACGAGACATCGGGCCGTGCCGGGCGAGTCAGGGAGTCAGTCCGAGGGGGCATTCGTTCCCACATCATCATTTCCAGCAGAGCCTCCAGCTTGGCTTCCAGCTTGGCTTCCAGCGCGGCAGTGGCGCGATTTGGATCTTAATTCGCCGGCATGGCGTGCGACGCCGCGACGCTGCGACGCGTTCCTCGCATTGCTCTGCTCTGGCTCTGCCAGGTGTCGCACGCGAGGAGGGGCCACGCCCGACGGCCTCTCGCGTCGCCTGCACTGCCTTCTTCATTGCCTTCGCCGCCACCTTCGCCGCCGCCCAGCCCCATTCAGACGTCCGACGTGATGCAACTCGGCCGGACGCCGATCCGAACCCCGATCCGAATCCCGATCCTCCGCTTTCCCGCGCAATATGAATATGAACGAGGCGCCGCGGGCGCCGACGCGTATCACTGCGGCCTCCAAGCGGCCCAGCTCTCTCAGCAGCGTGACTGCCGTTCCAGCAGTGTGACAGTCGTTCCTCCAGGTTCACAGTCGTTCCTACAGTGTGACAGCCGTTCCAACAGTGTGACAGTCGTTCCAGTAGAGTGACAGTCGCTCCAACAGTGTGACAGTCGTTCCAACAGTGTGACAGTCGTTCCAACAGCGTGACAGTCGTTCCCCGGTGTGACAGTGGTTCCGCTTTTGCGCGAGACCGCCGCTGCCGCGTTGACGCCGCTCTAATGGCCGCGCCTCCCAGCGCCGCGACGCCTTCTCAAAATAACGAGAACGTCGTGACACCAACAAACATTACACGGCCGCGGGCTTTTTGTTTTTGTCCCTTTTCTTGTCCTCATTGTTCCCCCGGCCACGCGATTGTTCCTCCTCGCTATTGGCGGCATGATGGGGCCCCCGATGGGGCTTCCGGCGCCGCGGATCCTTAAACTGTTATTATTGTCGCCGCCTGCGTTTCCTCGGAAAAAAAAATAAATCGAAACAAAAACAACAAAAGTGAGAAGAACGACGTTAAAATGTGGAAACCAAATCAAGCGCCACGATTCCTGTCCAGCCGAGCATTCCCACGACGAGGCGGAGTGGCGTTGGTGGAGCCGCGGTGGCGCTCTGGGCTGGCTCCCGCGTCGAGGTCTCCCGAGGCACTCTTCGTCATGTGAGGGGGTGTCAAAGCGACACACGCAGTGGAGCACACACACACACGAACACTTTCACACGGGCAAAGTCACACACACACACACACACACACAGACGGAGGGAGAAGCGGGCCACTCGTGCACACAGCACGTCGACGACGGGGACGGCATCAGCATGCATCGCATCACACGGCGGCGCAATTAAAACGTCGTCCTCCCGACCCGGCGGCAGCGCGCAGAAAAGGGGGAAACAAAACCAAAAATAAACAACAACAATAATAATTTTTCGGCGGATCGTGTTCAGTGTAATGACAGGTTGGCTGGCGGCGCTGCAATCGCGATTGCAGTCCTTGGAGGGGGGGGGCAGGTGGGACTGTACACGTGGAATATGGAGCAAGCCGCGGCCGTCTCGTCCGCCCTCGGAAACAAAACACTTGTTTACCCAGCGCCGGAACGGAATGGGCCGATTACACGTGCTTGCCCCCTCCCCCCTCAAATCGTCCCTTCGTGACGGGCCGATCCGTTCGGCGGCCGTAACTATCGCGGCGCGCACTGATTTTCCGAGCGAGAGTCCGTCTCTCTCGCACTCGCGGGGCGCCCCGTGCGGGTGCGAGAGAGACGGAGCGGCGGTGCAGTGGATATTAGGGTAAACAGTCGGCATTACGGCCGTGCCAGGCCGTGCCCAGGAGGGCTCGTCGCTCTGTCGCACTCGCGGGGGGCGCGCCGTGCGGGTGCGAGAGAGACAGAGCGACCATAGGATTGCACACGATTCACAAACGCAGCCCGCTGCACCAGGCGCGGAACCAGGATTTTCGCGGGGAGGGGGTAAAGCAGTTCCTTTTTCCGACCTGCAGGGCACAGTAGTAGTGTCCATGCCTTCCACGCTCGCTGTCATCCGATGGGGCTTCTATCTCTCTCCCTCGGAC